AACAGCCAATTTAGAACAAATGAGAAACGGAACATAAATTCTTAATTTCTTACATATAATGAAGAAGCTAAGTTGTTATTAAGGGTATAATACTTGCCAGTTTGCCCGTATGCAAAGCAAGTTGCTTTTGTTCGTTGGAAAATCAATGGAACTATTGGCTCCACCTTTTCAAAGTATACCTAAAACAACAAAATGAAAGATATTGTAACATCAATTGATTGAAAGTGGCAAAGTGAAACCAGCTTCGGATAAACTAACACCTCATCATTTGAAACATCTTCGTTCAGCACAGCATAAAAAAAAATTGTGTCTCTCAAGTCTCAACATATTCGGTTAAGTCCACCTGCAGAGAAAAGAGAAAACTTTCTGATAAATCACAAAGTAACCACATGTCATATAATGGTCTGCTAGTGGTGCAAAGCTTAACCAGTCATTTTATATAACCTAGAAATTCAGAAACTCTACATCACTTTCCAGTTCCTCTTCCTAAAGACAAGTTCAGTTACCATTATCCTTCTCGCACCTCACATGCCTTCACGTCGAAGTGATGGCATGTGGGAGGTGGCAAGCGCATTGACATACGACTCTTGACAATTGCTCACCTGAAGTTTGGTTTCATGAACTGTGAGAGCATTAGAATGTGGTTCAATTGTGATAATGTCTACCTCTTTCTTCGCGAATTCCTTTTTATTTAGCGGTCTCTTGCGTACCTGCAGAATCATTTTTCGAAAAACCAAGTTCTACCAAATGAGACATACCACAACTTTGCTCTTAGCTACACTTAGTATTGCCCCCTTCTTTTTCTGCAGAGAAACTCTTTGAGGAGATTATTATTCTCAGGCAAACCTCGCGATCTGCTCGTAGGCTGCTTCATGGAAATAAACAGAATATTATTTGTTGTACAGTTATTATTTATCAGTAAAGCTCAAGCGCTAAACAGTTAAAAAGTTTATACAGCGCTACACACTAGTGTATATTCTATATGGAGCACTAACCTGTTAAAAAATTAATACGGCGCTACACCATAGTTTGTGCTAACTCCACAATTTAATCTCATGATCCGAACTATTCCTTTTTTCTACTGAAACACTTGTTCGTGAGATTAAATTGTGGAGTTGCCCAAATTATTTGTTAGCGCGGTGTTAACTTGTATTCTAAATATTTGATAATTATTGAAGGAAAGCAGAGAAATGTAAGGGCTACCGAAAACAAAGCAAATTTTTCTGATCAGCAAAAAAAAACAAATGAAACGGAAATATTTATTAAGTAATTTGACAAACCTCAGGTAATAACTCAGTATCAAAGGAGTGGATATCAAGCAATCCAGGGCTGAGCTCACTAGGCGAAACTCGATCGTCGCCGTTCCTTCTCATGCTCGACGATCGCGATGCAATCGGCGGCGGAGTCCTAGACTCCGGCGGCGATTGGTCACTGCCGTTTCTATGACTCTGCCTGCTCATTCTCGTCGCGTACAGCTTGAAGTCCTGCAAAATATTCAAAACACTGAGCTTCGCATTATCAGGGACCCGGCATGCAATTTCGAGTTGACGAGGGGCGAGTTTGAAAATATAATCAAATTAATAGAGGACTTGTGAATGACTAGAGGACTGCAGCCACTTGGACGGCGCGTCCGTGAAGTGGTCGAGTACTGACGGTGAAGGTGGTGCATTGACGAACCAGATCCGGACGTCTGTCTCCCCACCGCATTCATCTTCGTCGACTCTAGGTCTGTAACTGTATCGACTCGAATGTACGGGCAGCTATCGAGAAGGCGTAGGGGGAAGGAGGAAAAGAATGATGAGTGGCGGGGACACGTGGTCCGTTGCCTCGGGCGGGGTTTGGTTGTCTTCACGTCATTGATGCATGGTCCGATCCACTACATCGCGGGTCTATGCTTTATAGCCTCGTTTGACGGTCAGGATTAGCTTGATTCAATCCTTGGCTTGGCAGTAAATAAAAACCGGGATTGCTTACTTGCATTTTGGATGAAATTTATTATGTTATGGTGTATTTTATGCAAGGTTGTAAAAATTTCTGCCTAGCGCCGCTGTCCAGATTAATGCCTAGTCATTTGAAAATTAAAAAAGGGCGCCTATACCTGCTAAGGCGTCTGCCAAGATCGTCTAAGTACCCGCTTAGGTTACGACTCACTTAGACAGAAAATAGATAACTTTCATTTCGCATTTTATTTTTTTCAATAAATTGTAAGGGACTTGTTGAATACTTAAATGAATACATATTATAAACACCCCACCAGAATGATGTGATTTACCTTTTTTTTTTTTTACAGATGTATGATGTAATTTATTTTTCTTATCTCTCGGAGACATCTGTATAAACCACATTAGAGGGTAATAATACCAAAAAAAAAAACGGCAATGCCCAAAGTAAATGGACGGGAATGTTGTGTGGAAGACGAAGACCGATAAGTCCAAAATAGCACCAACCAGGTGATCAAAGGTACGCCCAATACTCCAAAATTATTCGGCAACCTGCCGTTATTACCACCAACCAGGTAATGAAATGTACAACCCGTACTCTAATTATCATTTGGCAACTAGCCATTCATGCCACCAACCAGGTGATGAAATGTACAATCCGTACTCTAAAATCATTTGGCAACTAGCCATTCATGCCCCAACCAGGTGATGAAATGTACAACTCGTACTCTCATTCATGCCATCAACCAGGTGATCAAAAATACGTGACCATTACTCATGTCATTCATACATAAACATTCATGAGCATTACTCATGACAATCATACATAAACATTCATGACCATCATTCATGTCAACATTCCTGAGCATCACTCATGTTAACATTCATGAGCATCACTCATGACAATATCCATGAGTATCACTCATGTCAATCAACATAAACATTCATGAGTATCGCTCATGTCAATCAGCTTCAAAAGCTTCATTTACAGAGCTCTAGCTTCAAAGCTTCACTTGCAAAGCTTCACCTACAAAGCTTCAGTGCAGAGTATACAAATACCGCATCCGAACAACCGTCATTTCGGCCATACATGGATATAATTTGAAGTCTCCAGCCAACAAACTCTATTGACCGAAGACTTGGGGGACTACATTATGTACCATATATTGGGCCTCAACTAGGCCTCATAAAAAATACTTGGGGGACTTAGCCAATATTCATGTACTGAGGAATGAGCCCTTATTTTATAAAAGGGACTCCCTCACCTTCGTTAGAGAGCATCGCCGCTAGCTGAGCAACCGCATCGCCGCCAGCATCATTCCTAACCCATCATTTATGTATTGAGGAGCGAGCCCTTATTCTATAAAATGGACTCTCTCACTTTCATTAGAAAGCACCCATTATTCATGTACTGAGGAGCGAACTTTTATTTTATAAAAGGGACTCCCTCACCTTCATTAGAGAGCAACGCCGCCAGCTGAGCAACCGCATCGCCACGAGCATCACTCCTAACTCAATATTCATGTACTAAGGAGCGAGCCCTTATTTTATAAAAGGGACTCCCTCACGTTCGTTAGAGAGCATCGCCGGCAGCTGAGCAACCGCCTCGCCGCGAGCATCACTCCTAACCCATCATTTATGTATTGAGGAGTGAACCCTTATTCTATAAAAGGGACTCCATCACCATTATTAGAGAGCATCAACTCTAGCCCATCATTCATGTATTGAGGAGTGAGCCCTTATTCTATAAAAGGGACTCCATCACCTTCAACGCCACAAGCTAAGCCAACCAAGGCAACATAAGCCACGAGCCTCGCAACCTCGCAACATGTGCTACTTCTAGTTGAGCATCATTTCAGATTGAGCACCACCTTATATCGAACATCAGTTCAAGACAACATCTAGTTACTTCGGCCCACACATGGACTGAATTTCAAGTCTCCAGCCAAAAGACTCTCTTGATTGAAGACTTGGATGACTATTGTTTATATCATATTTAGGGTCTCCGTATTTAGATCTCGTACAAATACTCAGAGGACTTAAATGTAATTATGTAATAAAGGAAGATGCAAATATGTAATAAGTGAGGATCCCTTATTCTATAAAAAGACTCCTCACCCTCACAATTAGGGGAGGCCAATTCCTAAGGCTCCTCATCCCCTCTCAAAGCTCTCACTCTCAGAGCTCTCTCTCCCTCAGATAAATACAATAATCAGTGTGGACATAGCCCAAACCTTGGGGTGAACCACGATACATTTTGTGTTATTTACATTTCTTGCAGATTCACGGTCAGATTTACGTTGTTCTAAGATCTCCGGTTTTGTGCATCAACAGAATCGTTAACGTGAAAATTAAACTACAAATAGTCAATGTTATTCCTTCAGTCAAATTCTAATTTTCTATCCAAAATCAATCCAATCCTAATCACCCAAACATAACTTATATGTTATAATACACCATGATCATAAATTGGTCTTTTATTTGAAATTTGGGGACATATAAAAGTGGACTCCTACATAAATGTTGTGCCATTATACTTAATACTGTTTTGGTACTGATGTGCTTTTATAAAAAAGTGAGTATAAAAAAAAGCTAAGCTCAAAAATGTATTTGGTAAACGCTAAAAAACAGCTTATTTTCACAGTTTTTGGTGGAAAAAAAACTAAAAAACGTGAAACAGTAAAAATGAGCTTATTCTCACAGTATAGCAAAAACAATTTTTTTTCAAATGACAACAATAACAAACCAACCCTAATTCTATACAAGTTGCATTTCTCTCCAACGTGGAGCCACTTTCAAGTTTTAAAGTAAGGCAAAAATCTCACTATTCACTATCAATTAACTGTGTCAAATGTTTGTAGACTTATAATATCGTATTTTTTTCATATTTATGCGTAGCTTTTTTAGAAAGCTTGCTTAAATTATACTTACTTTGCAACCTGTTGATCTAATTTAATCCTTTCCATTCCTCCTGCAAGTTCAAATTTCGAACACCAAATTCCAAAGCACATGCCGGTGGTGGAATATTGTGTATAAATTAACTTTCTGTGAAAAATGCTAGGATCAAGTTGAGATGGCCGAGTCATAGCCGTCCATATTTACACTTTCAAAAACTGAAATCTGAACGGTCCGGATCAAATATCGCCTCACCAAAATTTCCCCTGCCCGCGCTTTTCCCCAAACCCCTCCATTTTCCACCGTACCCAAAATTCGCAGAGAAGCCAAAGCAACCGCAGCAATGGCTCAAGCCGCGCGGCTTAACCTCCGACTGCAGAAGGAGCTCAAGCTCCTCCTCACTGATCCTCCGCCGGGCGCCTCTTTCCCTCTCCTCGCTTCCTCCTCCTCCCTCACCACCATCGACGCCCGTAAAGCTTCCGAGTTCCTCCCCTTTTCGGATTTTTCTAACGCCGCGTTTGGTTTCCGAGGAAAAAAAAGGGATTCAATAACGAAAATGTTTTTTGTTTTTTGTTTTTGCAGAGATCAAAGGTCCAGAAGGAACCGTGTACGCCGAAGGGTTCTTCAACATTAAGATTCAGATACCCGAGAGGTCGGTTCAAAATTGCCAATTTATAATTTTTTTTTGTTACAAAATTTGGGAATTTTATGAAATTTTTTTTGGGGTCTGACAAAATTTTATGATTTTCAGGTACCCGTTTCAGCCTCCGAGTGTGACATTTGCGACGCGAATTTACCACCCGAATATCGACACCGGAGGCCGGATTTGCCTCGACATTCTCAATCTTCCTCCGAAGGTGAGTGAATACTTGAGTAACCCCAATGAAAATGTTCATGTATGCTGCTCATTGGGAAATTTTTAGCCGTCAATTTTTAGGTTGTGAAGTGAAATTTTCTGTTTTGTTCATCCATCAATTTATATGAAGCTTAGGGGTTAGTTACGATACTCAATTAGCATAGTCCCTACAACTATTAATGTTAGGAGGAACACTTCAATGATTGAACTATAGAAACATACCGCTCGTTTATCAACTCTTAATGTCGGTGGAACAACAGTCAGTTGCAATCACAGTTGGATGCAAAAGGGTTTTTTTTTTTTTTTTCTTTAACACAATGATTTAAGTGTTTTTAACTATGAAATGGAGATTTGAGAAGCTTATTTGCGAAACCATAATTAATATCGTTTTAAGCAGGGGGCATGGCAACCATCATTGAACATTTCAACTGTGCTTACAAGCATTGGGTTGTTATTGAGTGAACCCAATCCAGATGATGGCCTCATGCGTGAAGCGGTGAGTATCTAAAGTGATGATTATGTTATATGCTGTCATGTGTATGTATTTGGACTGTCAAATGCATCCGTAATGTGTTGATATCATTTAAAACAAACCAAAACATGTTATCGATACATTTCCAACAAGTCCTGCTATTATAATTTCTGGATGAACATATATGGTTGGGATCCCTGGGAGTTGGGACATTGCGGGGTACCAACATTATTGCTCAACTCATTTCTTCTTGTTTTTTTGCATGCGCAGAGTAGGGAATTCAAATACAACAGGCAAGCTTTCGACCAGAAAGCTCGATCTATGACTCAGAAATATGCCCAGTCTTCCGCTTCTGGGAGTGTTTGTGACTCTCAATCTCAACCTCAAAGCAGTGCAAATCCACTCACAGTATTATCAATTTATCTTAAGACTTATTTGGTTGAAAAGTTTACTGTTCGGATAGGATCCATTAGAACCGTAACCTTTTTCTGGTTTGTTTTTCCCTCCTCAGGTGCTGCTGGAGGTTAAAGCTTCAATCCATGAGTCAAAACATGAAGCAGAGGAGTCTGCTGTGAGTAGTCATAAGAAGGTAATTGGGGGTAGCAGGAAGCTGTCACTGGAGTCTTCAGGCCAAACCCAGAAAAGGGATGTTTGCGGGAAAGGAAATGAAGTGCCAAAAGTGCAACTCTTTGCCTCTGATTTCGGAAACAAGATGGAAGTCAAAGGAACAGAAAAGTTGCTGGAAGATAAGTGCAGTCAGAGTCAGGAGAAGATATGTGGGAGCAGACGAAAACTATCGCTAGAAGCCCTCAGCCAACCCGAGAAGAAAAGTGATGGTATGGAGAATGTGGTGGCAAATCACCGTTCATCACTTAAACTGCAAAACCTTCCTGTGCCATCTTCAGGATCGGTTGCACTGCAATCTGGCAACAGTTACAAGCAAGGACTTCATCAGAGTCAAGATAGTAAATTGATAGATGACAACACAGGAGTGAGATCAAAGAGGCTGCGTCAATTCGAAAACAAGCAGTCATTGGCTTCTTTAAACACATCCCAAATATTTGATGAAAACAACGATAAAAAGTTCATTACCCCTCAACTGCCGCCCTCAGTGTCCCATTCCGATGCGTTATCGGAGCCTTTGTCAGCGGCACCAGCTCTTGACAGCATCAACTCACAACCACATAAAGATTTGATTGATGGAATGGGAAATGGCTCCGTTGGTATAAGTTGCAAGAAGCTTTGCTTAGCTGGCAAGAAGCTTTCGTTGGGATCTAGAGGCTCATCAGAGGCACATGGAAAGGCTAACAAGGAGAATGTGGCGCCAAAGTTGACTGAGAATCATACAGAATGTGAGATGGCTCATTTGCAAGAGAACAACAATAATAACACGCTTCCGCAGCCCCGGAGTATCTCTTCATATCCATCCAAGGCCCTTCCTGAGCAACAACAGAATTTGAAGCGGGATGAGAAGCAACAGTCTGATGAAGATTACAATTGTGGGATTGCTGCAGGGATTAATAAGCAAAAGGAAGGGAAAAAATTGGCAATGTGTGAGGCTGAGGCAGTGATTGTGTTGGATAGTGAAAGTAGTGATGAGGAAAGGAGTAGACCTGCGATGACTCTATCAGTGCTAGCAAGAAAGCGAATGGGAAAGTGGAGAGTAAGAACTTGACAGTCTTTGGACTCCAAATCAATCAAGCCGTATGTTTGTCCTTACCAAATTTTGTGCTCTTACTTGCTACTCAGAATGCTAATTGTTCCAATTCACCTGAAAACAGCTGGGCATTTTACCCACAAACTTGGCAAACGTTCCCTTGTTTGTAGACAAAAACATCTTTTCGTTTTTAGTAAATTTTGTCACTGATAAAAATTCATACGAAAAAGAAAAAGAAAAAAAGAAACTTATCTTTTCCAGGGCACACAAGCCGTTATTGAGGGAGAGGGAATTAGACAGGACCTCGATTAATTAAGGGCGTAGGCCACAGTCGTAATTACAGCAAAACGTTTCGTAGTTAAATTTGATTAAGAGCGTTTATTTTTTAAGGAAACAGCATGTGAGCAAATTTCTATTCCGCAGACCCAACCCTAATGGGCCAATAGGTTATTGGGCCTTTCATTTAAAATATTGGGCTGTGGAATTTGTTTTAGTCGGGCTAAAGATAATAAATTGATCAAAAAGGGTGAGAAAATCAATGGTTGTTGCAGAGAAATAAAAGAGAGGTAGCGGCTGAGAGCTTGTGGGTAAGGCGGTTGCGCCGCGGCCTGGCCTGTCCTATACTACTGAAATTACTGTTATAGCCTTGGAGCCGTCTGCAACTTGAAAAACCGGAAGTCCAATCGCAAAGACCCGAGGAAGAAGAAGCAGCTGAAAACAGAAGAGAAGTGATGGCTATGGCGACGAGCTGCCTCTCAACACTGAGTTGCGTATCTCCTAGTTGCAGTTGGTCGAATTGGAGACGAAAGCACTCTTCTTTATCCCTAGTAAGCTCGTCGTCTCCGGCCTCCGCGTTGTCGTTCGAGTCTCGTCAGCATCGGAGGAGTCAGGTGGTGTGTATGGCGCCGGATGAGGAGAAGCTCACCCGCCGCAACCCTCTCGATTTCCCGATTGTAAGCGTGCTCCTCCGCCTCCTCTCGATTCCTGCCGTGTTTTTGGGTTTGGAATTTTGGTTGCTAATTAGTTTTTGGTTTTGCGGAATTGTGTTGCAGGAGTGGGAGAGGCCGAAGCCGGGGCGGAGGCCTGACATTTTTCCGCAGTTCAGTCCTATGAAGACGCCTCTGCCGCCTCCTATGCCGTATGACCCGCCGGAAGAAGACGAAGACGAGGAGGAGAAGAAGGAGGAAGAAGAAGAGGAGCAAGAGCAGGAGGAGGAATCTCCTGAGAAGATTGACCCAGATAAGAACAATATTTAATCTGCGTCTCTGCATTCAACTTTATGGTCTTTCTGCTTGTAGTGTTGCCTGTAGGTTTAAGTTTAAGTGCTTTCCCACCCCACTGTATGAGATGAACGGATTATGCTTAATCTTTGTCGAGTTGTTTGATATCGAATTTTGATTGTTTTTCGATGAAATGTGTACCCTTTACTTTACTCCAAAGCTCACATAAAGCTTCACGAATTTATATATATTCATTAAGAAATAAAGAAATAGCCTTTTGTGGCAAGAATGTATCCGAAAACTTCCTAAACTCAGACGGGATTTCCCCCGCGCATTACATTTGTAAAATTCATATTTGAATAATGAATACTATCTAATGGAACGTGAAGTTAGTGTCGTTATCTAGGTTCCATTACAGTTATAGATACACAATTTGAAGAACCCCTATCCGACCTTATTTCAGCTTGGGATGATCCGGATTCACTTTTTGAGACATAGAATGCGGGCTGTTTTGGATCTGGTAAAAACATGACATCACTTGTGAGCATGGATATTACTTCCGACATAGTAGGTCTATCTGCTGCGTGTTCCTGCACACATAGCAGACCAACATGAACATATTTCGAACCTTCGTCTTTTGGACATGAGTCCATTGATGGGTCCCTTATCTCTAGACAGTCACCTTGTTGCCATAAACCCCAGGCCTGCAGTCAATTAAATTTTGATGCACCATGTGAGTGTTTCTGCTCTAATTGAAATTGAATGCTAATTTCGATCTATCTTTATAACACTTACAAGTTCAATAAGGCTGAGATTAGTAGATGAAACGAATACAGTGTTCTTTCTGCCACTCACGATCTCCAGCAGTAGAACTCCAAAGCTGTATACATCAGACTTCTCAGAGAAAATGTCATTCATGGCATACTCTGGAGACATATAGCCACTGCATAAAATCATCATACAAAATTAGGAAACTGTTCATATTTCATATAAGCAAGTATATAAATTTTAGGTTGCATTACTATGAAATATTTATGCTTTCTAAACTTACTATGTTCCTACAACTCTCTTCGTATTTGCTCTGGACTCATCCTGTCCGAAGATTCTGGCCATTCCAAAATCTGATATCTTAGGTTTCATGCTTTCGTCAAGTAAAATGTTGCTAGCTTTCAAATCTCTGTGTATGATTCTAACTCTAGAGTACTTATGAAGATAAAGAAGTCCTTGTGCAATCCCTTCAATGATGTTGATGCGCCTCTGCCAATCTAAGAGATACACTCTAGTAGAATCTGCAGTTAATGTGAAATTCATAGTATGCTTAATAGGGTTACAGATTTCGGGGAAGAGGGGAGTCTTTGAATTTGAAAGGAATTATGGACGAACCAAAGAGGAAGGCATCCAAGCTTGTATTTGTCAAGTATTCATAGATCAGAATCTTCTCTTCTCCTTGGATGCAACAACCCAAAAGCCGAACAAGATTACTATGTTGAAGTTCAGCTATAAGTGTTATCTCATTCATGAATTCTTCTAGTCCTTGTCCTGAATGTCTTGCAAGTCTCTTTACTGCTACCTGTTGCCCGTCTGGTAATACACCCTACAAAAACTTCGAATGTCAGATATCAACTTCCCAGATAGCCATTAGTCGATAAATTTAAATTTTACCTTGTAAACCGGTCCAAAACCACCCTCTCCTAGCCTTCGGGCAAATGAGAAGTCATCTGTTGCAGCCACTAATTCAGAAAAACTGAACATCTTAAATTCCTGCCGCCGGCTTTTGCCAAATTTGAGTTTGAATATGTCACTCATTCCGCTGATTTGAGATCCCAAGTCAAGTAACCCTTGCTCTTGGATTGTTTCCGAATTGTCTGCAAGCCAGTGATTGCAATAGTTTATAAGGTACTCGTACTTGCAATTCATAAATTAACAGCCACAAAATCCTATACAGTTTCTTCTCACCAGTTTGTTGCACGTGTTGAGGTTTTCTTTTCCTTGTATAGAGGAAGTACCCCAAAAGTAGCACTGCCACTGCAAGTATAATCCCTACGATACACCATATCCACCATTTGCTCTTTTTACTTCCTTCGGTAGGTGTTCCATCTGTACCGAACCACCAAATTAGCATTAAGTACTTGAAGTAGTTGAGAGCTATAGCTAATACATAGATACGAAAAGACATTATGTTACAAGGTTCATGTCTGTGTCTCGAATAGCATGAACTAAAGCATAGAAGAATGACAAGGTGCATATGTGGATTAGATAATTAGTCATGCTAAACCAGTAATTAGGGCATACATACCTCTGCTATTATTTGCTTTGGTAACGAGGTAATTAACTCCAAAGTAATTATTCTTGACAAAATGTGCTCCTTCTCTCATATACAGACATCCAGACCCATTGAGCTGTAAAGGTCCGTAGCCGATACAGGCGCAATCCCTCCAGCAAATTGCGTGACAGTCGCTAAGATCCGAGTTAGGGTTACTATCATTATATGTCAACTGAGCATCAATTAAGTAGCCTCTTATCGGTAGGAATAGCTCGGAACCATTCCTGCATTCAGAGGTCGTCTGCTTTATGCACACTGCATCCGGATAATCTGGGTTGAACGTACATGGACCTGAAGCTTTGGTTTCCCATGTTGTACCGTCTGAGGCTAAAATCGACTGCAAGAGTTGGCCCCAAGTATTGAGTTCCCATCTCGAAAGAGTAGAGTTGTCTTTGACAGAATAAGTGAAGTACTTCTCCTCTGCATTTGAAACAAAAGAGAACTCGAACAAATCAGCCCTGCTTGTCAGTTCAGGGGCCATCTGAAAACTTCCACTTTCCCAGATCCCACTGGTCCAGTATACAACGTCTCGCCGCCAGATGATTAACCGGTTGGTGCGATTGGGATCCACACCAAGCCGGAAAGCACCTGGCGTAGGCACCTGACCACTGAACCATGAAGAAGCTGTTCGATTACGCCCGGTCCTAAAGTCCCAGCCTAACTTCATTCCAGGTAACAATGTGTTTGATGGGTAATCAAAACTTTCCCACAAAATCTTTCCGGGAGTTCCATCCGATGCTACTTCCCTTAACATAAAATTTCCGCTATCCATCATATAGCCAGTCACATTACCGGAAACTGTCTGATTGTGATCCCACAGAATAATCTCCCCTCCACCATGTTTGATCTTCATTTTCCCATCACTATCCAACATAAACACTCCAGACGAATCCACGACCGGAGTTGCAGGGTTTGCCACCCACACCGCATCCGGATGATTTGGTAGTTTGCTGTACCATATTCCCAAGAACCGATTGCTCGTAGCACCCAGGTCACTGGAAGCACCGGGACTGAAGAACCCCAGCTTGAAGTAACCGTGCGGAGAAACGAGATGATCGGTGTCCTGGTCCCGTAGCTGGTCGCCTTGCTTGAGCGTGTACACCACTACTTCTGCATAACAAGAGAGAAGATACTGCAGGAAGAAACACGAGAAAAACAGAAGCCTCCTGCTTCCCTGTGCAGCCATCGCCTACAATATTCTGTTTCTCTCTACGATTTTTTTGCAGAGAAGCTTTTATAACTTGAATTGCCTTAATTGAAGATCTATCCTCTGACTTTTCCTAATTTTTCCAATTTGTTTAACTTAGCTGTACAAATTTGATATGTGGGCAAACCTGTGTCTAACAATTCGTTGAAAATTTGGAAGGATTTTATTGACTAGTTCTTCAACTTCTTTTTTAATTAGAATAAATTATTAAAATGATTAGCCAGTCATGATCAAAGCTGAGTTCCTCAAAGTCTTGAACTAGGCCCTACCCAGTACTCGTTTTAAATTCATACTATTAATGAATTGTTTTTGAATTTATTCTTGATTGCTTGAAAATCTAAAGATTTCCAATGAAGGTGGTGTCATTTTATAAAGAAAAAAGCTCGCGAGTTGTCTTTTTCAATTTTGAGTTC